CTTTCAACCTTCATTTATCAAGTTCATTAGTTCAAGTTCATTAATTTCAAAGTTACGTGCGTCATATATGGTTTGTGGTCATTTCATGCAAAACCAAGCAGATACACGTGTTGACAAGTAACACACAACTCTTCTCTCACTATTAAATTTATCAGATTCCTAACCAAATATTCCTAGATATAGCCATATATAGTAATTTAATTAATTACTTAATTACGGCCCAATTTTTTTAATGGTAAACAAAAAATTATACATGTAATTTTTAAACAGTGAAAGGAAGTAGCTATACTCGATTTCAATAATAATGTACAATATTATATTCAATCACTTATTTTATTAATTTATTCTAACTATTATCATATTTCATTTGAAATGATTTATTATTATTTTTTTATGTAATGTGGAGTGTTTACTCTATGTCAATATTACTTTCCACAACATTGGTTTTCATAAATTTAATAATGAAAATAAGTAAGATTTCAAAATATTGATCTTCGTAATTTCAATACTGAAAATAAGCTAGAAGTGTATGGGTGGATACGAACGGTTTTGACTGTGAAATGTTATGCCTNTTTCTTGTTGTTGCAGCCTTGCAGCAGGACAGGAATACAGGATTACTACTAGTAAGATATACATAATAGATAATTTATCATAAAAATATTACATGTAACTTATTATAAATATATAATAGATAATTTATAATTAGAGTTTGAAAAGTATCACTTACATATTCATGAAAATGAAAAATGATTTATGTAGGGGAAATATAAGATAAGCATGGAAGTTCTTTAGAAAATATTTGTCTTTCATTAGGAAGACAGCAGTTTGACTGTTTGAGACTGGATTACATGTTTGAGATAGATTAGAAATTTGACCTATGAAATCTCTAATTTAATATGGTAAATAACTACTTGAAATAGGTTTTGAAATTCAATGCATATAAGAGCTCTTTCTAGAATAGAGAAATGTAAAATTTATTATTTTCATATATCATACATATATATATATATATATATATATATTATTTACCCATGTGTATTAGTTAATAATTGAAGTTGTTAATTAATTCAAGCTATCAATTATTTGCATCCAATTCAGCAACCAATTATAGTCATGACTCATGAGTCATTTTAGTCTCTCATGTTAGTATATAGAATATTGTTTAAGGAAACGAATGTGGGAATCAAAGTTAGAAACAATTTTGCCGTGGAAAACATTTTGAAACCCGCATATAAACATTCAAAATGGCCGGATTTAAGAGATAAAACTAAAAGCTCCTTTGTGTTTTTCTACCTTAAATTAAAATAGTCTGGGCCTGCATTTGAGATGAGGTTAGGCAAGGCCACATCTGTTAAACGAGTCGTTTGTCGAGCTCGAGCACATTGAAAGCTCGTTTATTTAACGAGCCGGCTCGGTTCTTTAAGCTTCAAGAATAATTTTTTTTAAATAATATTTTATAGTTCGGTTCTTTATTGCTCGAGTCAACTCATTGATATTGAGAAACGAGTTGAGTTCGATTCGACTCATGTGCTCGAACTCGGCTCAGCTCGTTTACATGCCTTAGGGATGTGTAAATAGCAAAGCCATCCGGCAATTTTAAGAAACTGATGAAATAGGCCTACAACCCACTATTGCGTGTAATGAACAGAAATTCGAGGCAGCCCAATAGTATTTCGATGGCACGACATGATTTTATATTGAATGGAAGAATTATAACAAGAAATATATTTGTGATAATTTTAATGGTGTTTTTATAAGATACAATTTCTAGTTCTTCGTGTGTTCTTAACTCTAGTTGCTTCGTTTTTTCACAACTTTTTTTTTTCACAATTTGTTATACAATTTGTTGTTGTATTTCTTTCTTCACGAGTCGTTTTATTTTTAATCTGTTACTCTTTACATATTATTGGCGTTTCCTATTCAGTGTGAAGGAATAATTAGGATTTTTGTTTATTGTAATTATACTTGATTAGTAAAATACTCGTATATTACATGGGTGTTGAATTAGGAAGCATATGTAGAAATTTAAAAGGTTTTATTTTATTTTTTTAAACTAAAATAATTTATTTTATATAAAACATTACTTTGGATTTTAATTAAATTTTCAGACTATATATTTTTTTTTAAATAATAGTTTAACACTCGTATATTAAATGAATATGTCAACCGATATTGGATTTTTTTACTTCTATCATGTAAAAATATCAAAATTATTTACTATTACATTAAGTACAAAAATATATATCTTAAATAAATAAGAATAGTATGGTGATATGTATAATTGTATATGCATAAGTGTAGAATATGTTTGTTTAATATTAAGCACAACAGATTATTTTTTACTTAATTAGATGCCTAATATATCAAGTGTCGTATCCGTCGTGCTTCAAAGTTTTCTAAGTTTACATGTAATTTTAAAATGTAGAAAATACTTATTTATTTTTATTAGATTGACAACATACCAATTAGATTTTAAATAAATATCATTTTTAAAAGAATAATATCATATAATTTCATCTTCGAAATGAGTAAAATATGAATATTGGAGAAGATTGAGAAATAAATTAATATGATTGATTTAGTGAAGATGTGTAATAAAAGAAAAAGAAACAAAAAAAGTATTAAGGTAATTGTATGGAATGAAATAAATAATGATTGTTTCAATAAAAAAATATTTAATATATTATGAAAATAACCATGCCTAATTGACATTTGACATGACACCCAAGCCTAATCACGTATCAATCAAAAGCATAGAATCATGAAATAATAATAATAATAATAATAATAATAATAATAATAATGATGACAGTATACTACAATAGATTTTAAAAAAATAATAATTGAGTATTATGATGAACAAAAATAACTAAAATTATTATTTTGCCTATATCAAAAAAATAAATATAGATGTTAAAATATAATTTATTAATATAAAGCAAAATATAGTTTATTTAGTCCACCATGTTTTGTAGTATTTTGAGGGTAGTTGGTAACCGAGCTACCCGACCTCGAGTCGTTCTCAAAGGAAGACGGTTCGAAGCTCGTTTACCACTCAATTGTCCAAATCACACAAAATGAGAAAATAAAAGCTAAACATGCTAATCAATTGGGTTTGGGGTGAATTAATGCTAATCGAACTCGGAATTGAAAGCAACAAGCAAACGAGAGAATAACGTAATTAATACTATCGGAGTCTCTAAGCCATCAACATCAAACAAAATCAATAACGAGAAGTATGCAAGTTCTAACACTAGATCACTAATCTCAACCTTCTAACCTAAGTGATTAAGCTCTAAATAGAGTCCTAACCATTAATCTAGACAGACAAACAATTAGTCTCTACTAAAACAAGCATGAACAATGATCAAGTCCAAGCATATCCTCCATCATCAAACAAACACTCATATTCACCTTGAAAAATTCCATAAGTAAAAAACGAGGCAAAAATTGAAGTAAAGAGCTTTAAAAGTAAATACCCAATCTTCTATTGCGTGCTAGATGAAAATCGGAGTCAAAAGCTCGGAACTTGAACAAAATAAAACTCGCCGGAAAACTCGTCGAAAAATGATGTCATAGAGCTCCCAAGAGAGAGAGAAGAGAGAAAACTAAAAAGAAAAGCTTAATTCCTAAAGTGAAAAAGTGAAAAATGAAATCTAGATATCAAATTACAAAGAGCCAAAGTCTATATATACTAGGTAGCAAAAACACACACTGCTCACACACACATTTACTAATTTCTAGTGTTCGCTGGTCTCGAAAATGACTTCGCCGCGAGTTTTGGTGGAAAATAACACACAAAAGCACCTTTCGCAGCCCGCCAAGTGAAACTCGCGGCGAGTGCTAGCTTGTTGGGCGCAGATTGCCGCTTCGCGGGTCGCCAAAAACTGTTGGCAGCGAGTGTGGGGCTAGTGGAGTGCGCACTGGTAGTTTTCGCGGGTCGCCAAAGTGTGTTGGGAGCGAGTGCAGGGGAACAAAGCTGTAATCTTCGCGGGTCGCCAATGAGTCTTCGCTGCGAGTGTCGCATGGCTAGAGTCATCACTTGGCGCGGCGCGAAGTCCTCTTCGCAGCGAGTGGTGAGATGAGTGGCTCTAAGGACATAACTCGCGGCTTGCGAACCGGATTTCGCGACGAAGATAACATTCAACTTAATTCCTTCGGGTGACTCAAACGGCATTCTCTTCCTCGGAAACTCGTGTAGCTCGATCCAATGGCTCGACTAACTCGTGTTGGAATGGCTCGGCATCAAAATCATGGTCAATGGCTCGGACAATAGCTCGGACAATGGCCCGTCTCCCCAAACATGCATAATGGACCTACATACACCAAAATAAACGAGAAAGTTCGCCAAAATACAAAAACACATAATAAAAACATGAAAACGCATAAGACATGATAAAATGGACCGGTTGACACAAAAAAGAACCTAAAAACACTAAACTAAAACACATAAATCACATAAAATAAATACAAAAACACAATAAACACACCACGAGATACTAACTAGTATACTACAAGGAACCATTTTTATCAATTTCAAACTCTATAGTTATTATCTATTTGATCAATAGCTATTGTTTAGCTAATAAACTCTTCTATTAAAGTATCACTCTATCAAAATATCCTATAATTTTTTTTTATTTTTTTTTTCAGATAAGAAATGACTCTAGAGCTGGGGTTTATCNAGCATGCATTGTTTTTAATTAGTGCCCTAATTGCTTATAAACTATGCTTGTTTTTAATTCATATGATATGGTAATCTTGGTAAGTACCATTTTTACATCTGTTCTTTATTTCACTTGTTGTGTCATTTTTATTTTGAAAATAAATTGAGGTGGACGAAGTTATTTTTTACATAATTTAAAAATATGAACCTAAGATCTCATAGTTTTTACTGAATTGAGAATTTTATAAGGTATTCAATTATTCATCAAGTATTACTTATGTTTGCCTATATATTAAAAAATAAATAATTTATAATATATATTTTTATAAAAAAAAAATGTTCCTTTTCAGTATGAACCTCATTTTTCCAGAAGCAAAAAAGTTACATCACAAAAGTTAGTGATTTTTTGGCGGGCTTCGCAATTTATTCCGATATAAAATACAGAGGCGGGTCGATTGGTCCCTGCGCACCTGAACGCTTTCTCGCGGAGGCCATATCCGAACATGTCTCTCGTAGGCGGACACGACGGCGGACAAGACGGCGGCGACGGCGGTGGAAACGACTCGCAGGTCGTGAACACCCGGGTCGGCCGGCTTCTGAGAGAGCGGGAGCTGAAGGAAAGCCTCAGGAGCACGGTCTCCTCTATAATCGCCGGTCCCGACGGCAGCGCGCTCGAAATCGGAACTGGTTACGACTCTTCGGGGTCTCACGACATTGAGCGGAGCTCGGAGGGCGCCTCCGTCGACGGTTTGAGGGAAAGCGCCGACGGGAGGCCTATCAGGCAGCGGCTGCTGGTGGTAGCGAACAGGCTGCCGGTTTTCGCAGTGAGGCGTGACGATGATTCGTGGTCGCTGGAGATAAGCGCAGGGGGTCTCGTGAGCGCACTAGTGGGTGAGCTTTTCACGATTTTACTGTATCCGGTTTAATTGCACGTTCTGCATCTTGTATGTCCGCATCTATCTGCTCTACTTGCTATTTTGTTTTTTCCGCAATTCCAGCCGTGAGCGCTTGTTCGGCTACAGCTTATTACTGCTTCCTCATTTTATTTTTTTTGTTTTGATTTTGCAATTTTGTAATACTACATTTACACTGTTCTGTGCTCCTTTTTTCTTAAGATTTGCTGGACTGTGTGCCACATGTTGTAGGTGTGAAGGAGTTCGAGACACGGTGGATTGGCTGGGCGGGCATGAACGTGTCGGATGAGGCTGGGCAGATGGCATTGACTAAAGCTCTAGCTGAGAAGGTGAAAAACAGTCTTAGGAATTTGTGCATTACTTTCACAGGTTATGAATTTTATGAATTGCAATGTATATCATTTAGTGTACAATAATTTCACACTAGCGTTCATAATCTTACTGTTTAATGTTATTGTTTTGGCGCATTGTAGAAGTGTGTCCCGGTTTTCTTGGATGAGGTGACTGGTAACGAGTATAATGATTATAGCAACAACATTTTGTGGCCTCTGTTCCACTACCTCGGCCTCCCGCACGAAGATCGGTTGGCTACCACCAGGAGCATTCATCAAACGCAGTTTGCTGCTTACAAGATGGCCAATCGGATGTTTGCCGATGTTGTTTGTAAACACTATGAAGATGGTGATATCATCTGGTGTCTAGACTACCACCTGATGTTTCTGCCGAAATTTCTGAAGGAATATAACAGCAACATTAAAGTTGGGTGGTTCTTGCACACCCATTTCCCGTCTTCAGAAATGCATCGAACACTTCCATCTCTAAAAGAAGTGTTGCATGCGGTTCTAGCTGCCGATTTGGTTGGGTACATGTCTTGACATTCTAATATGCAAATTTATGTCAAGTATTATCTCGAAAGTTGATCAGCACCACCTGGTTCACTAGCCTTTCCCTAACCCATATTATTGCATTTCAACTGCTTAGTATCTACCAGCTGGCTAGTAACTCCGTAGGTGTCACTGCAATAAACTATGAAGGTTAATATAGTGTAAATTGAATAGGCTTCTCTCATATTATGCACCTTATGGTCATCTTTCTTTATGAAATTTGGCTCCCAATTCTTGTGCTACGAAAGATTGAATTGAAGTGGTTTTGCTTTATTTTAATAAATCTGATACGTAAGTATCTTTTTCGCAACTTGATTTTAGTTGGATTTTTTTTTTTTTTTTCAGTTTTCACATCAATGGTTATGCAAGACATTTTGTGAGTGCTTGTACCCGTATTCTTGGAGTCCAATCTGTTGCTGAAGGAGTAGAGGATCAAGAGAGAACAACTCGTGTGGCTGCGGTATGTTCTCGTGAATATGTTTAGAATCTTTCAAGAACTTTTACAGTTTTGAGCAGCAAAAGTCTAGAAATCGGATCATGAATTCATGGCCTTAAATACTTATTTCCATCTGCCATTGTAGTTCCCAATAGGAATTGATGCAGAAAGGTTCATACATGCTCTTGAAGTTCCTCAAGTGAAGAGACTCGTGGATGAATTAAAAGCACAATTTGCTAGAAGAAAGGTTATTTTATGTTTCAGTATTTGCCTTCCTTGTATCCAAATTCGACAACCAGTGTGTATGTGGTTTTAGCGTGACCAGATTTCGATTTCACTTCATCAGTTAACTTCAATGATATAAATGGACCCTGTAGGATGATGCTTTACTTTATTGGTGATGTATATCTATGATACTCATGTCAGTTAAGTATTTGCTCTGGCCTCTCTGTTATTCGATCTTAAAAGAAACTGAAATATTATTGCATACAGGTAATGATGGGAGTAGATCACCTTGATATGATAAAAGGAATACCCCAAAACATACTAGCATTTGAAAAGTTTTTGGAGGAAAACAGTGACTGGCATGACAAGGTGGTTTTACTGCAAATTGTTGTACCAACGAGAACTGACGTAGCTGAATGTAATTTTCTGTTTCTACTTTTCAGCTTATGCTGATGTTTGTTTGATTTTTTTTATTTTATCTTTTTAAATTCCACAATGAAATTTTAATATTGTTTCGCCTTGTTAATCTCCATAGATCAAAAACTTACAAGCCAGGTCCATGAATTTGTTGGACGGATCAATGACAGATTTGGAAATCTGACATCACTACCAATTCATTATCTGGTTAGTAGTTCATCAGCAGGCTTAACATGTATATTTCTGTTGCTTGCATCTGCGTGCATCGAATACATTTTGTGAAAATCAAGAAATGTTCAATACTTCTGTATCTGAATGACTCGATCAATTTTACTAGAATTAAATGTTCTTGAACCAGTTGAGAGTCTATATGTTTGAAATGTTGAATAAAATGAAGATATTTTTTAATACTGGAACAACTAAAGGTCGCATGACTATATTTCTCTGAAACAAACTTTTATACTGTCTGCAGGATCATTCTCTTGACTTTAATGCCTTGTGTGCACTTTATGCGATCGCTGGTACGGCTCAGTCTTTAGTAGATCAATTGTTTGATAAGAAAGAAAGCAGCACAGATAATAAGGGGGTATCTCATTTATTAATGTTATACTTTTGGGGTTTCATCAAATAGTGTTCTCATTTCAATCTTTTGCCCAGTTCTATGATTTTTTCTCAATTTTTCTTATCATTCTAAATTTAAAATTTTCTTTGTCAAGTACGCTTATAAATGTTGGAATGTCAATTGTGAGTTCTCACACATGCCCCACTGCAATAGCACATTTAGCCATGATATTATTTGCAATGTTCATTCGGCTATTGATATGCAACTAGTTTTTCATTCCACCCGCACCTTGTGATTCTGTAATTTATTCCTTTATTATTATTATTATTATTATTTTATTATTATTATTATTATTATTATTATTATTATTATTATTATTATTATTATTATNGCATTCAAACTGAACTATTCGCTCTCGTAGGTTCCTATACTAACAGTAAGCCCTTAAAAGTAAACCAGGTTCTTCAATATCTTCATGTGTTTGGTGGCATGGTTCTGAATCAAGTTATGGCCAAATTGAATTTTAATTCTGTATTATTGATGAAATGTTGCCTCCAAGTTTAGGCTTAAAACTTTTAGTGTCGACTTCTAACTCGCCTGACTTTTCGCTGATATACTTGTGGATCTTACAATGAAGATGCAGCAAAATGACAGCATTATATGAATTATGACAGTTATATAAGCATTATGATGACGTTTTTCACCGGGATATGATTCAACAGATGTAGCACTTGTCACTTCCTTGCACGACGGGATGAATCTTGCCAGCTATGAGTTTGTGGCATGCCAAAGTTCTAAGAAGGGGGTTCTCATTCTCAATAAAGTAATTATCTGACTCCATTTATTTTGTTTGATAATTTGCCCTCCTTTGATGAAATCTGCAATCAATGCTTCTTTTTTAAGGTTGGAAAATATTTTCAGTATTTTGGAGATGGAAATAAACCCAAAATTTGTTCAGATATTAGCATTTAGCACACACCGAGCATCTGTAAATTAAAACTTCTGTTTATTAGAGTTGCATGTCTGATTTGATACTATTTCAACTTCTTAGCTGATTGCAGTGTATTTTAGTTATGGAACTTCTGATTCTATATTGTGAAAAAATTCATAATATCTGGTGAAACCTCCCTATTTTATCCTTCAACTTCAATGTATTGCTGCTCAACTATCATGTAAATTTTTTCATTTGACTCTTATCTCATTTCCCCATTATAATTTGTGAATAATTTTGGTTACATGTTAAGTTTGCTGGAGCAGCACAATCTCTTGTCGGAGCACTTCTAGTAAACCCATGGAACATAATTGAAGTATCTAATGCAATTGGACAAGCTTTGACTATGCCTGCAGAAGAAAGAGAAGAGTGCCACTGGTATAACTTCAAACGTGTGACGTCTCATACTGCTCAACAATGGGCTGAATCCTTCATAAGGTGTGTACATGAGAGGTCAACACTCCGTTGAATATATAGAAAGCTTATGACTGTTGTTTTCCTGAGTTTAAACTTTCTAGGATTGATCTTGCAGTAACCTGAACGACACTGCTATTGAAGCCAAGCAGAGAATTAGAAAAATTTCTCCTGCGCTTGTTTTTAGCGAGGGAATCAACGCTTACTGGCAGTCTGAGAACCGATTCCTCATACTGGTATGTTTTAATTTTCTAGATGTTGCATCTTGTTTTTCAAATAAAGAGTCGCAACATCTGAAACGACTATGACGAGAGTTGTATCCTGTTCATAATTAACTGTTTTACAGGGTGGTGGTGTATCTGATTCAGAGGAAGTTGAGCAGATGCTGGCTTCAAAGGACACGCTTATATATGAGCTGACCCAAGAACTGGCCAAGTCAAAGTCCAAATCCACGGTAAGTACTTATCAAGAGTTTGCATTTATTTCGATCATAAATCATAAATTGACTTGCTTATCTAATATTCAATTATGAATCAGAATTTAATGCAAATTCCATGTTGTTAAATGCAATCCTAAATCAATTGGGGTCATGCAGCTGGATGAGCTTGAAAGAAAAGTCAAGACACTTTCGTCCGAGAACAACATCTTGACGGAACAACTCTCGGAGGCGAGACGGGTCAAAGTACTCCCTCTGCCGAAACTCTCTAGGTATGCGAGGGTGGACTTGGGTTTGGTATACTTTGTGTTTATACTAGTGTCATCAGTGCTATTCATGATGAGTGAGCCGAAAGATGTGGAAGTCTACCCGTTTGCCATGATGGTGATGGTGCCGGTAATACTGGCCATCCTAATGATGATAGCAATTCCTTTAAGATGGAGCTACTACCCCTGTTTTTTGGTTCGGGAGGTCGTGAACGTGTCACTCCTCCTCGTGATTCCAGCCATTGTCGATCACGATTGTGATTGGCTATTGAAAGGTTCAATGATGTTCTATTGTCTTGGATTGAGTTGTGTCATTAATAGTGTATTTGGATTTTTAGTTGTCAGGCAGGACAAACAAGTTCTCTTGGGGTTTATAGCATTTTTTTTTGTATTGGGGTAAGCCTGGGTTGCTGGCAACTATTGCCAAAACGTTATTGGTGAATACTTATGACAGGTATTGTGGTAATAATTGGGTTACTTTTTTCCATAGTTTTCGACCAGTAATCCGATCCGAGTCGATGTATAAATTCGCTTGAGGTCAAAACCGGTTTAAGGCGGCCAAAAACCGGTAAAATCAAAAAACCACTACCAGATCAACCGGCCCAGCAGTTTCAGTCTTGAGCAGCAGTTAGTGACGCTTTGCAAGGCCTAGCTTATCATCTAAAAGCTGTTTTTCTTTCTTTTTCCCATTGGGATCTTTTGTCTTGTGCATTGACTTTATTAATATTTGTTGCTTTTTGCTTTTAACCTTTTATCTCTTCCCTTGTCTTAAGTTTCTTTTTCGCCCAGCACATCTACTTTATTAATATGAACAGCAAGGGTTTTACTAATATATGTACATCTATACAACTGAAATCTTAATTTTGGGTAAACATACATTTTTCTCCTTTCTTCTGAAGAAAGGCAAACCAAATAGAAATGAAGTAAAAAAAAAAGTAGATATATAATTAACTCAGGTCAAACCTTTTTTTCCTATAACAAGCCCATCAAGCAACAAAACAACCTCATCAATGGAGGGCCTCTTCCTAGGATCTTTCTCTACACACTTACAAGCTACACCAAGAACCTCCATAAGTTCCTCCTCACAATCCTTACTCGTTATACTCGAGTCGAAAATCTCCACCTCCCGCCTCTCGGTTTTCATCCGGTAAACCCACGCCACCAAATCCCGGCAACTCTTCGCCTTACAAACCTCCACCGGCCTCCTTCCGGTCAGAAGCTCCAAAATCACAACCCCAAAGCTATAAACGTCCCCTCTAAAAGTCGCCGTTAAAGTCTGACTGTACTCCGGCGGAATATAACCCAAAGTCCCGACTAAATCCGTCGTCACATGCGTGTCGTAAGGCCTCAGCAGCCTCGAAAGCCCGAAATCCGCCAAGTGGGCCTCGAAATTCTCGTCCAACAAAATATTGCTCGTTTTTATGTCACGGTGGACAATGTTCTGTTCCCCATGCAAATAGGCCAGCCCGCGGGCCGCCCCACGGGCTATCCTCAACCGCGCGGGCCAAGGAAGGGCAGAACCCGGGTCGACCCGTTCGTGCAGCCAATAATCGAGACTCCCGTTTTCCATGTACGAGTAGATGAGTAGCCTGTCGTTCGCATACTGGCAGTAGCCCTGTAATGAGACGAGGTTTTTGTGCTGGGCCCGCGAGAGGGCCTCGACTTCGGCCTGGAACTCGCGGTCCATCTGGCCACAGTCGCCCGAGAGCCTCTTGATTGCGGCCCGCGACCCGTTTTTGAACTCGGCCCGATAAACGAGCCCGAACCCTCCGCACCCGATTATGTTCGACTGGTTGAAGTTGTTAGTTGAAAGCAGAAGATCCGTTACCGTGAGGCCCTCGCACGCAGTGTTTTTGAAAAAAACGAGCTTTGGCGGCCCGAATGAGTCCGATAATCTTGGGGGCTCGACGGGGGCTCGTTTTTCACCACCTTTTCTCCATATTCGAAGTAGAACGAAGGCCACGATTAAGGAGATTGCAAACCCGATTCCTATCGTGAGCCCGATTATACTATTCCGGCCGAGTTTTTTACCGGTCGACCGGCGAGAAGGGCCAAAACCGACACTTTTAACAAGACAGGGAGAGATTAGTTTCCCACAGAGGCCTTTATTTCCCTCGAAGCTCGAGCTGGGGAAACTGAAGAACTGGCCGCCAGTTGGAATCGGGCCCTCGAGACGATTATAAGCAACGCTAAATCTCGAGAGGAATGTGAGTCGGTTCAATGAGACGGGAATCGCGCCATGAAGTTCGTTGAAGGACAAATCGAGCGTCTCTAGATTCAGCATGTTTGAAATCGAGCTCGGGATTGTCCCGGTTATGTTGTTCCGGCTCAAATCCAAAACGTGTAGCTTCGTCAGCCGACCGATTTTGGGCCAGATGGGCCCGGTTAACCGGTTATCGTTCAGCAGTATAGATGGCGGGAAGCTCGAGACCTGATTGTACTGCAAGCCGCTCGAGCTCTGATTCCGCTTGACAAAGAGCGGAATAACTGAGGACGTGTTGTTGGAGATTAACGGGCATGCAGTCAGGTTCATAAGGCCCTTGAGACCGGTCAAAGCCTTCGGGATTTGACCGGTCAATGAATTATTCGAGAGGTCCAAGTAGAAGAGTGAATCCATCCGGTCGATCCAAGAAGGGATGGTGCCTTCTAGATGGTTCCACGAGAGATCAAGCAGCTGCAAATTTCGACAGTTTTGAAGCCAGCTCGGGATTTGACCGGTCAAAGCGCAGTTCGCAACAGCCAAAAGGGATAGCCTCTCGAGCCCGTTTACATTCTCGGGAATTCGTTCGCCGTGAAAGTTGTTGGTGAGTATGAGGGTCGTCAGATTCCGGCAATGACTCAGCACGGACAACGAGTTTGATAAGTTGACGAGCTTGTTGATCGAAAGCGATAGAAAAACGAGAGACGTGAGATTCGCGTAATTTTGAGGGACTTGACCGGTAAATTTGTTTCGGGCGAGGCTCGCGTATTTCAATCCCCGGCAAGTGGAGAGGGATTGAGGCAAAGGGCCCGAAAAACGGTTCCCGCCTAAATCGAGGGTGCAGAGATTAGAAAGCCGGGAGAAATCGAAATCGATAGGGCCGGAGAGCGAGTTGTTTCTGAAATCGAGCACGTCTAGTTTCGAACAAAGTGCCAAAGTCGAGGGGACTGAACCGGAGAACAAATTCGAATGCACGTCGAGATGCTCAAGTCGAGTCAAATTCTCAAATACATCGGGAAAAGGGCCGGAAAATCGATTGCCGGAAAGAATTAGGGTTCTGAGATTGGTGAGCTTGCCGATTTTCGGGCTTATCTGGCCTGAAAAGTTATTTGTGGAGACTGAAAGCACTTCCAAGGAAGAAATCGAGTATAACGACTCGGAAAATTCTCCCGAGAAGGAATTTGAATCCATAACAAGCTGCTGGAGAGAGGCTCTGCTGCAATTGTTGTACAACCCTTCAAGCCCACCGGTAAACCCATTGGACGATATATCAAGAACTCGAATATTTTCAAAGAAACTGCAGTTTAGCGAGCCGAGTTGCCCAGCGAACAAATTGTTACTTATGTTCAATGCAACAAGATTCGAAAAACTCCAAAAATCGCTCAAATTTCCAGTGAACGAGTTCCCAGAAATGTTAAGCGAACGAATCGATTTCAAGCCGGTAATTCGCTCGACTGCAGGCCCGAACAGCTTGTTATGGCTAAAATCGAGAATTTCCAACTGATTCAGGTTAGAGAATCCAGAGGGCAAATCACCTTCCAAAGAGTTGTGTGAAAGATCAATAAATTTCAAACCATCCAATTTGATAACAGTGTCTGGAAATTTCCCCTTCAAGTCTTTTCCAGAAAGGTTCAACATGGTCACTCGAGCAACGGCCGATTTACCGGCATTGTTGTTAGTTTCACAGACAATGCCTTCCCATTCACAACAGTTATCGGATATATTTGACCAAGAGAATTTGATAGAGCCGTTAATTAATTGGCTGGCGAATTCCTTCAGTGCTGATAGATCGTTCGGATGACAATTTGGGGAAGCATTTGTAAGAGTCGATGATGATAAGCAGCAAAAAAAAGCCAAGAATGCCAAATTCAAGAGACACATCAGCATAAAACGTTAGCTCGCCACCAATAATGTACCGAAAGGAGATTATCAGCTCAAATCACAAGCCCGAGTGAGATTATTAACATTCGAATCCGAAAGAATTCGGATAATTCGGAAATCGCATAGGCTCTCAAACCATACTTTCTTTACTAGCCAATCAACATCCCATAAACATATCCCAAGTTGGTGTAGTAATCACTCAGTTATGCAAACTGAAGCAGTAAACAATCAGTAGAAATATAATCACACTTAGATATCAAGAGCCCACCTGAAAAATTCAAATTCCAAATTGAAAAAAAAAATATTAATAATTAAAAATCAGAAACCAAATTTTGCGATTGGGGCAAAACAACAAACACCACAGGCTCAAGTTAAAGAGACAGAACAAAATCCAAAAGTATGAAAAGAACAAGAAAAGAAAACAACAGCAACACAAAGATAATGATAAAAAATGAACTTGTAACTGAAGCTTTGCGTTAAGGTTTCAGATCCCCAAGTCCCGAATTCAAACAACGGGAAGAAAAGAAACAAAAGAACATTCTTTTATGCGAACCCACAAATTTCTTTACTTTAAAAAAGAAAGAAAAAAAAAAGGAACAAAAAGCTAAAGTCGGTTCTTTTATCGGTCTTATCACTTGCTAACGAAGCAAACAACAATCCCACTAACACAGAACACTGATCAGAAACACTCTGATTAAAGTTTGCATCTCAATCCCACTATAGTGTCTCCAAATATTACATAAAAATCAACGATGATCAAAAAATTCAGACAATAGAAAAAACAGGAAATGAAAGAAAAGATTACTTACAGCGGCACAATGATTTCAGTGAGGAAGACACAGACCGTTCTTGGGCAGAGACAGGGAATCAAAATCAAGGGGCGTGTTNTACTCGAGCTGCCGTGTGGGATTTTTATTTTTTATTTTTTGGTTTATTATTATTGACAAATTAGGTTGGTGAGATTGATTTGAAACGATGACACACAGAGCTGACTTCTTCATTTCACAGTAGTGAAAAAATATAGTATTCTATAGTCTCTGCAAAAATTGTCTCCTTCTAGCTTTCTCGCTCTAGAATGTGTGGGCTCAATGGAGGTGGGCAATTTGATGAGGTTTTTCTCGGACATTAATTTAATGCCCTCTTTTACAAAGGGTTTCGATTCCACGCGTTGCTCGAGCGAGTGAAGTGCACAGCTCGGTGTGTAATATACTAATATATATAGTTGTGATAATTATTTTTTTAAAGTTATTTTGGTGTTATTAACTTATTAGTTATCTATATATATAATTACTAGCTGATTCATTTAATAAAACATTTAATAAAATTTATTTTATTTCTCTCCAAAAAGAATTATATTTTTTTAATTAATTACTCACTAATCTACTAAAACCGTTACACCTTAATATATATATTTTTATTATTTATTTTTTGGATCAGTTATTAAATTAATTCTAAATTTGGTAGCAAAATATTCAAATGCGTAATGGCTAATGTTGGAACTTAAAGTTGTTTGGCGCATTTAGAGCTGTAACCGTTATATTTGGTTGCATTGTTGGAAGAAAAATATGATTGGCACATATATCTTTTTCTAAAAATCAGAAACATTAATAATATTTTTTTTATTTATGTTAATTTTCTTAATATATGCAACAAATATATAAATTATTTTTATTCATATTACTAATGTAAACGTTGAATTGTTAAAATAAAATTTAAATCTCAATTAATTTTGAATGATAAAAATAACTTAAAAAAAGTAATAATTTTTATATGATAGAAGTACATGTCTAATTAATAAATACAAATAAAACGTGTTTTATATCTGTGCAAATACACAAGATCAAATACTAGTATATATAATTAGTAGCTGATGCATTTAATAAAACCTATTTTCATTTCCCTCCAAAAGGAGTTACATTTTTTTTAATTAATTACTCAATAATCTGCTCAAACTGTTACATCTTAATATATATATATATATATATATAGGATGTGGTTCAAATGAGAACCAAGTCCTAACGTGAGAACCATGAGAACCGCTATTTATAGTTGTACGTAGTGCTATGATTGATTGTGTTTTAGTGCTATTTTTAACATGGATCTATTTTTTTAAAAATAGCAATAGAATTTATATTAGCATTTGTAAAAATAATAGCACCATGTGATATTAAAAATAGCATCATACACAATAAAAGACAGCATCAAATACGGTTCTCACGGTTCTCACACCAGGACTAGTTTTTATTTGAACCACTCTATATATATATATATATATATATATATATATATATATATATATATATATATATATATATATATATATGTTTATTATTTATTTTTTGAATTAGTTACTAAATTAATTCTAAATTTGATAGCGAAATATTCAAATGTGTAACGGCTAATGTTGGAACTTAAAGTTGATTGACACATTCAGAGTTGTAACTACTATATTTGGTTGCATTGTTGGAAGAAAAATATGATTGACACATATTTTTTTTTCTAAAACTCAAAAACACCAATAATTTTTTTTATTTATGTTAATTTTCTTAATATATGTCACAAATATATAAATTATTTTATTCATGTTACTAATGTAAACGTTGCATAGTTAAAATAAAATTTAAATCTCAATTAATTTTGAATGATAAAAATAACTTAAGAAAAAATAATAATTTTTATATGATAGAAGTATATGTCTAATTAATAAATACAAACAAAAACGTGTTTTATATCTGTGCAAATGCACAGGATCAAATACTAGTTATGTAAATTAGTTATCAGATTCTTTTATAAATAATTACAATCTTATTTTTGTAAATAGAACTGTATGTGCTAGATTTTTTATTTTTTATTTTGTCAAGATGCAAAAATCAGTATTGAAATATATTTGTTTTTGCATAACAATCAAATTGTAATACCTGCACTTGTATAGGTGTTATTAACTTATTATGTAGATTAATTAACAGATTGATTTAGAATTTTGTTTTTTTTTTATTTATTTGTCAAGATGCAATAAAACCAGTATTAAAATACGTTTTTTTTTGCATAATAATCAAATTGAAAATTGTAATACTTGCACATGCATGGATTTGAATTTGATATCCTTTTACATATAATGTAAAAGGGAAAAAAATGTTGTGACTTAATTTCATTGTTTATTGTGCAATTATTGTGAATCATTTGCAAATTAAGTCAAGTGAATATATTAAAATATTTATAAAATGCTTTGTGAAAATATATTTCTAAACTTGACAATTTTTCAATTAGTTGGACAATTATGCATGAGGTCCAAGCAACATGTTTTAAAATAAACAAAAGTACACAGGGAGGCAATGGTGAATTAAGATGCAAGTGTGGAACACCTAAATTTTCTAAAAATATAGTATTTATTACATATGTATAGTCAAATAAAATATATTATATGTTTTATTATTCATAAATTTATTTTAGCCCTCTTGACCAATAGCATTTCATACCCATTCAAAATTTATGAGGTTTTGTCAAGTACTTTTATTTTTATATTTGAAGGACAACAAACCTTCTGAATTTTTCGACATATGAGATCTTGACTTTTTGTAAGGTCGTATTATTTTATCGTAATGATTAGATTGAACAGGATTTGGTGAGATTTCCAGTAATTTTCACGAAACATGTAAAACGTCAATTAAAAAGTTAAAAATCAACAATACGATCAATTTTTGGATTTTCATACCATCTACGCGGAGAGTTGACTTTTGACTTTAAATACATCCATAATCCCGTGAAAATTTCATGAAAATAGAGAAATCAATCTTTTTAAGTCAACTAGTATGAGTCCCGTGCACTGCACGGGTAAGAGATATTCATTAATATTTATAAATTAAATTTTTTTTATTAAATAATATTTGTAAATTAAAAATATAGAATCAAATACCTATATTAATTTATTGAAAATATTATATAAAGTTTAAATTGTGAAAAATTACATAAAAATGTCTATTTAAAATTAGTACACAACCCATGCGATACATATAACTGATAATAAATTACATTATATTCGTTTCAAAATAAGTGTCATTTCAAATTTTTTTATTCAAAAATTCGATTTGACTATAATGTGATTACATAAAATAATTATTTTGGTAAAATTTTATCATATATTTAACAACATATGTGAATAATAATTATAAATATAAAATTTATATTGTTTCATTACTTAAAATAATTTATTTTTGTATAAACTATTCAAATAAAAAAAATTAAGTAGTTGAGTAATTTATTGAACTATAAATAATTGACTATTTCATTCACGTCCAAGTTAATATTGACCCGTAAGTTATGAATAATTGTTTTTTTTTTATTTTTAATTTTAAATAAAAATATTTTTATTTTCTTATATATTATATACCAAATTTAAACTATGCAACTAATAAAGGTAATAGCTGCAAGTTTTGTCAATATATTATATTTCACATTTAAGTTATTCAACAAATAAAGGTAATAGCCGCAATATTTGATCAAAATAATTTTGTACATTAATTACATTAACTTAGGCAGGATTTTTTAAACTTTAGCAAGAAAAAAGAATTGCCCAATTTAATAATTCTAAATTTTTAAGCGGGAAAACCAAATAATTTTTTATTGATTTTTAGTTACTATTTCAAGTAAATATTATTGTCTTTTTATATATTAATAGATTTGGGTAATAAAAAGAGTTTGATTTCGACACGCGCCGCCCCAATGAAGTGGGACTGGGAGAGACTAAAAAGGTCAAGAAAAGCAATACGGTCAAAGATGTGGGGCTGAATAATAAATATTGCTAGGGGCTATACGACGTCGTGCGGGGTTCTGTGGCTCAGTTTTCTAATCAAGCCGAGCCTTTTAAATCGAGTCACGGACCACTAGCGGCTAAATTTTGTGGAAATTGTGGGGAAGGATAATATATGCTCACATGTGAACCCCACCAAACCAAACCCCACTTATAATATATATTATTTTAATTTGGCCCTGGAATTTTTGGGCAATTTCCCAACAAATTTCATCATCCTTCATCTACCACTAACTAAGGTTAGTCAACCTTGGATGATCTGTTTTGTCTCCAAAATCATAACCACTGCAACTAATTAATAAAATTACCTTAACAAATAATAATAATAATAACAATAATAATAATAATAATAATATTAATAATAAAAACAATAATAAATAAATCAGAGGTATTTTGAATCCAACTTTCCCCATTATCCTCCACTGAATGAGGAGGAAATTCAAAAAATACACCATGCATGAATCTTTGGAACGTAGTCAACAGAGTACGATGGATTGTTTTGATATTTATTATAAAGTGAATTCTATTTATTCTATTTAGACCCCAAGTCTTAAAAGGATTGATGATATTTGCTAAATGCAACCCCCAAAATGAAATACCCATAACACTTCCCATCTCTAATTTCTAGGAGGTCTAGTAAATAAATTTATAAGTCGTATGCAGGTAAACAAACCACAACTATAAAAGAATGACCAAAGAAAGAAGAAAAGAAAAACAACTGAAAACAAGAAATTAAGACAATCTATGTTTAATGAAAATTCAATAGTAACAACATAACGAGATTCACTCAGTTATAATTTGTGAAAAAAAAATGTATATACTTATACTACTTAATGTTTTACTTATCTTTATGTTGATTTCAAAAGTATAATAATTTTTAATAAAATTATTAAAATTTTATGAATAGTATCAATAATCGAATAGTTTGGTCAGCCTAGTATAAGACAAACTGTATCACCGTGTTAGTAACTTAGTATATATTTACCCAAAATTTATGGTGCACAAATTCATTAATGGTAATTGGACTGTCTAACATAAACCAACTGTATCATCGTGCTTTTTTCTGACTTCTAAATTTTAATTCATAGTAGATATAAAAAGATAAAAATTTTAAATTTTAATTCATAGTAATTTATTATGATTTTTAAATTTTAATGTCAATATAAAAAAATAATAAATGGATAAACAAATTAGTGTGGATTCGTTATTGGATTTGTTTTAGAATTATTTTCTTTTGAGGACAACGGGCAAGTGGGNAACGATAGACTACATAGCCCATAAATACATCAAAGCAATTTGAAGAAACCACCACTTCTTAAATACTAACAAAAAATAGGAAAAATCTCACGACAAAGACAACTGCTTAGTTTTTGTGAGTCTTTTCCTATCCCCGCTAACTCAACTCAACCAAGTCAAGTAGCTCACCAAAAATAGCTAGCCAATGTGCCTCCTAGAGGACCTAGCTAGCTATCAAAACCTACAAAGCACTTAACAACAGAAAGAAAGCTAACCACCAGCAAAAACATATATACAGCACCTAATCTAAAAAGAAAAACGGCCACCAAACAAAGACTCTATAAGCACTAAAAGTACCCAACAAAAGGAACAGATTCCTGCCATTCTGCAATTGCTAATTTGATTGTATCCAACTCTGATCTATAAACCTGCTGAAACACCCAAAGATTCCTTGTCTTCCACATCCACCACAGTATGTAGCAGGCGAGTTGAACTATGTCTTCAGTTATAGAGCCTTTTTGAATTCCACAGAGCTTGATCCACCAATGCTTGAAGGAAGTGGTGAGTGATTGAAGACCATCCCAAGAGATTGGTGCTAGCTTCCAGATCTTCTTTGCCCTATCACAGTGAAAGAACAAATGTTCCTGATTTTCCTCACTTTCTCCACAAAACTTACACCTTGGGTCCAAAGCAATGCCTCTGTTCTGCAAATTCACTAACACTGGAAGTATGTTGTGGTGTCCTTTTCCAAAGGAAATGTCTCAACTTCCTCTTGATTTTCAAGCTCCATGTTCTTTTCCTGGCAACGTTCAGTTCCTTTTGGTTTTGGCTAGTTCCAGCAATGTCCATTTTTCTCCATTCCTCTTCAATCATCTTCTTGTATGAAGAAGCCACTGAGAATGTGCCTTTTGTATTCCATGTCCACACAGGAGTATCTGGTATGTGAGGGTCCAGGTTCTTTATTTCCAAGATTGCTGCAGCCTCATTTGTTGAAAGATCTGCTCAATTAATTCTTTATTCCATCTTCTCCCTGATTCATCTATGAGATCTTTCGCCCATATCATTGCAGGAGGTCTTAGTTGTTTCCCAATGAGTGTTTGTCCCTGCAGTTTTGGAACCCATGGTTGGTCCCACAGTCTGATCAAATGCCCATTCCCTATTTTCCATGACAATCCTCGAAAAAATTCTTCCTTAACTTTCCACCAGCATGTCCACAACCATGAACAGTTGTGTTTTTTTGAAGCTTTAAACAAACACTCAGTTGGGAAGTATCTGTCCTTCATGATCTTGCTAACAAGCAGTTGTGGCTGGGTTTGTATCCTCCATAGTTGTTTCAGAATGAGGACTTTACTAAAAACATGCATATCATGGAAACCTATTCCTCCCATCTGAGTTGGCAGAGCTGTCACCTTCCAGGACTTCCAGTGAATGCCTTTCGAGTTTTCTTTACCAGAGTACCACCAAAAGTTTGCCATGTGAGAGGATAGCTTTTTTATCACTGACTGAGGCAATAAGAAACATGACATTGTATAGGTTGACAATGCTCCAATGACTGATTTCAGCAACACTTCCTTACCTGCAAGAGAAAGCTAATTGTTTTTCCAGTTTGAAAGTCTTTTACAAACAGTCTCCTCTACAAAAGCAAAAGTATTATTCTTGGAAATGCCAATACCAAGGGGTAGGCCTAAATATTTGGATGATGTCTGAGGAGTGATACCCATAAAGATATTGCAAATTTGGGTTTGAAGGGTTGAGGGAGTATTTTTACTGAAAAAAATGGAGGATTTCTGTAAATTTGCTGTTTGGCCTGTGAGAGATTGATAGGAGTGTAGGATGCTCAACATTTTATTGGCTTGTTGGGGATCAGCTTGAGCAAAAAGCAATGTATCATCAGCAAAAAAGAGGTGGGTTAGGGTTGGACAATGCCTGTTTATTTTAATACCCTGCAGATGACCACTGGCTACCTCTTTACTAGTTTCTATTGTTGCGTGATGTTGCAAAGGCCCATATATATAAAACTGATAAAAATTAGTAAGCTTCATTTTCAAGCTTTCTATTTTCAATGAAGCAAAACTCAATAATAAGTAGGAAATAGGCCGCCCAACTCCAATTATGCTCCTTGTATATGCTTCTTCGAGGTTTGACAAATTTGTTGGATGGGAAGACTTTTCATGAAGAAAAAAATCACAATAATTACACTTACATTACTTTTAATACATATCAAAATAGGTTAAGTGAATTAATTTGATCGATAGTCAGACCTTGTTTGGAAACACTTCTCAAACTGATTTTTGGATCCAAAAGTTTATTTGAATATTTAAATTTTGTTTGGTGCTAATTATTGATATACAAAATTATACTAAAAACAATAAAAAAAAAAAATACTATTCATTTCATCTCTTTTTTATCTCTACAATTTTAATAGCACAATTTAAAATAAAAATTTAATTATTGTCATATATTTTTTAACAAAAAACATTCCACGCACATATTTCTAATTACCATTCTAACCGACCAATATCATTTTACTTATCTTATATCTTATATCAATTTAGAATATCAAATTCATCTCATTTTTTATAATAACAAAAATTTCCACATGTTCATCTATTTCGACTGAAATACATATATATATATATATATATATATATTAAGAAAAATCTTATATGTATATATATATAATAAAAATAACTATTTTTTAAAAATGGTAAGTCAAATTCTTAGTCAACATGTTTTGCATTAATTACTTGCCATTAATGGTAATAAATATTTTTTGAAAGCTTCCCCGTGCAATTAATGCTTTCCAAGATTTTTGGGATGTTATTTTGTAATTGACCAATGGACTGATTTTGCTTTAGAAAATCTTATCCCATTAAAAAATCTTATCCCATTAAATCTCCTTAATATAACACTTATTTTATATTAAGAAATAATAATACCACGGATTTTGATTTTCAATCATTCACAAATTAAAGAATCTTATAAAAAGAGAATAAGAGTTATAAAGCATGGTAATTTTAGATATAAAATTCTATTTTATTTGTTATAACTTTACATGGAAGTTATGTTATAATTATCTGCTTTGCTTTTTTATTTTTATTTTACTTGGCTTTCGCGAGACAATATCTCTTATTAGACTCATAATATCTTATATAATTTTAGACATATTGTTTAGACAATTTTGTATACATTCTATCTATGTATACATGTCCACATACACATATACATATACATATGTTAAATATAAATAGTTTTAGGCATGTTTTTTTTACAAAATAGTTTAAAAAATTTTTAGATGACTCCACATCTTTCAATAATGATATTTAAAATTTTAGATACTTCTACATATGTTATATAATATTTTAGACGTTTTTAATACTTTAAACATTTATTTTTTCAAATTCCTTTATACAAGATAATTATATATTGTTTACAACTCATATACGATAAATTATATTACATATTAAGTTCATATCTTTAATTTATAATTATTAGTTAATATTATTTAACCCCATCTTTAATTTATAATCATTAATTAATATTGTTTACTCGTGTATGGCACGGGAATACGCACTAGTTCCGACTTAAGAGATATACAAAACCATATTTGAGCTCAGTTCGAACTCCGTTGTGCGGATTTTGACTAAAAGAAATGATATGGTTTTCACAGTGTCAAAACCGTTATCGATCAAATTGATCGAAAGTATAGAAGTAAACTCTAAGAACCAAAATGCTAAAGTAAAAAATCGAAATATATTTGTTCGTTGATTGGATATTGATATTTGTTAAAACATATAATAACGTTTTATAAAAACGTGGTTGGAAATTGTTCCTGGTCCATTGGTCAACAAATCCTCCAAACCAAGTCATCGTCTCAAGTCAACACTGTAAGCTGTGAATTTGCCGGCGGGTGGTGCGCGGCGGTTGACGGTGGACTTATGATGGAAATTAGAATTGTCGGCGTGGTCGGGTGCGGCCAGATGGGCTCCGGAATCGCGCAGCTCGCTGCCGTGAACGGCCTTGAGATATGGCTCCACGACTCCGACTGGGCGGCTCTGTCTAAAGCCCATAAATCAATCTCTTCAAGAATCCAGAGCATGATCTCCAAAGGACAACTCGACAAGGTGTATTTCGTGTATAGCCACTGATTTTGGACTAGATAAATTTCCGATTACGCTTTTCCTTAATTTTTTTTGGTAAATAATTTTATCTCGGTCTAGGGTTCTTAGTCGTTGGATTAAGATTGATTTTTTTACTAAGCTCAATTTGATAACTTCCTGATCGCATTTAGTTTCGAAGTTTCAAACTTTTCTTGTTTTAATTTATTTCAAGGATTCGAATAATATTTGAAGCAGCTGTTTTTTAAGTTATGGTTGAATTTTTTGAACAAACCCATCTTGAGAACTTCTTGATTGCATTTATAGTTTCATGTTTTCATTGTTGTTCTCAAACTTTTAAGGGTTTGGGAAAAATGTTTGTATTTGCTCCATTTTTCCTACAGGGCAAAGGTGCTGAAGCTCTAAGGAATTTGAACTTCACTACAAATTTGGAAGATTTTAGGTCTGTGGATATTGTAATTGAGGCAATTGTGGAGTCCGAGGAGGTTAAAAGAGAGCTGTTTGCTCGATTAGATAAGATGGTAAAAAGTTCTGCAATCTTGGCATCCAATACAAGTTCAATCCCGATAACACGTTTGGGCTCTGCAACTAGCCGGCCGGCCCAGGTTCACACTCGCTACTTGATATTGTCTCCTGTTTTTACAACATTCATGCAGTTTTGGTTGATTGTACTGCAAAAGAAGTATGGATTTTCTTTTTTTCAATCAAACAAATAAATTGAAAGAATTATGGATTTTGGAAGTGGGATTGGATATGGTTTGATATAAAAATAGTGTAGCAATGGTTATGGTGAGAAGCACTTGTGTGGATGGATTGAATATTGTTTAGAAATGTGTGATAATGGTTTATACATACCGCTGCCAAATTGTGTTCGTTTGATATTTATTTCCTAAGCAATTGCAATTTTGATAGAATGAAGAGATTTGGTAACTGGCTGTTAATTAGCTGCCTGAGCTAAAACAAGATTACTGCATGACATTTTGGTAGCATTCATCCCTTTGATTCATGAGCTTTTAGTTGTGCCTTAACCGTTTATGTTAGGCTAGTGATTGATTATATTTATCCAATTTGAAATTTTGCATTTGATTTCAAACTCTGTAGCCATATCCAATGTTCTGTTTTAATTCCTTTTCCTTTTTCAAACTCGCGTGGTTTCCATTTTATTGTCTGCAGGTGATAGGAATGCATTTCATGAATCCTCCACCAGTGATGAAACTGGTTGAGATTATCCGAGGTGTCAACACATCGGATGATACATTCAATGCCACAAAATTATTGGCAGAGAGGTAAACTGATCTTTAATTAAAAAAAAAAAAAATAGTTACTTTTTGCTTTTATTAGTATTACTTCTTTTTATTTAGTGCCAATCAGATATCTTAAAATTTGAACTAGGAGATTTTTGTTCTTCTTTTCTTTAGGACACATTCTATGTTTTGATTTATCACTTAGGTCTTTAAGAAAAAAACATTCATACCCGATTTTTTTTCCCTCTTCGTAATAATTAGGCGGCAAAAATGCATTTTTAGTCCGGTTTTACGCCATAGCAACTTGACGCTAAACCAACTTGACTAAAAAATGCATTTTTGCCTAATTAGGCCAAAATGACTTTCTTAACCACCCTTAGTTAATTATCTAATGAAGGTTGGGCAAGAAGATTGTTTGCTCTCATGACTTCCCGGGCTTCATCGTGAATCGTATCTTAATGCCGATGATAAACGAGGCATTCCACGCTCTCTACACAGGGGTGGCCACAAAGGAAGACATAGATGCTGGAATGAAATTCGGGACCAACCACCCAATGGGCCCACTTGAACTTGCAGATCATATTGGGCTCGATGTGTGCTTGTCCATCATGAAAGTCCTTCAAATGGGCCTTGGGGACAGTAAGTATTCACCATGCCCGTTGCTCGTGCAGTACGTGGACGCGGGCCGGCTTGGTAGGAAAAAGGGTTTTGGTGTGTACAATTACAGTAAAATGTGAAAATAACACGAAAAAAAATAAAAATAAAAAATAAAATGAAGCCATCGGCTCGACTTTGAACTGTGTCACGATTGGGATCGGCTTGTCTGAATAAGAATCTCGTTTTTCGTTAGCTCGACTCGACACGTTTACACCACTAGACCAGAGCACCCCAAAAGCTAGTGCACATTGTGCATGTGAAAACTTTGATTTACCCAATAAGGTGGGTTTTTTATCCTTAGATCAATACAATACAATGGTGAAAAACGAGCAAATTTGTCACATTGTGGATGACCCACAAAACATGTTTTAGTCTAACATGAACCAAATGATGGGACTTTTAAAATCTTCAATTGCTGTGTTCATGCTTACATGAGTTGGCATATGAAAATTATTGAACAGGAATCTAATAATGAAATAAAAAAAAAAAATGCTTTTTTCTTTTGTTATTCTTTATTCATTTCAATAATGTATAAATAAAACAATTATAAAAGAACTATTACCTTTATAATATAGTACACATATTCCCCTTTTTGGATTGGGAATTTTTATTCACAGATTCCAAGCAGAGAACAAGGATGGAGTTCTTAGTTCACAGTCCTTGTTGCTCTTGTTTTTTCTTCATGAAGATAAATAAAGGCAAACCCAAGAAAAAAGAAGACAAGTGAGAGTAAAGCTCATGAGTCTGCAGATACAAATCCCACATTTGGCAGGTTGTTTTATTCGTCGTAAAATCTTCGAACTTCTTGTATTTAAACAAAATGTACTTATTTTGTAATTGATGGTAAAATTCATGTGATACTCGTTGATATGAGTTNAATTCCACTATTTTCTTTAATTATTATTATTATTTTTTATTTTTTTTGTGTTCACTAATTAGCAACATTTCACTGCTATAAGATATAGAAAATAGAATTCAATTTATGTAGGAATAACTTTGAAAGCGAAAACATTCACACCATAGTACATGTTCTAAGTTACAATTGTATCATGTAAGGGTGTGACAATACTTAAAACTTAAAAGGGTAGTCATATTGTTATTAATTTCTGCATATGAATATAAAAATATAAATTGAAAATTTTCAAAATTTTGGCCTTGCGTGATTGTGATAATTGATAGTAGTTTATTTCGCAATCGAAATAAAGAAGTGAAATTTTATTTAGAAATATTTCATATTAAGTATTCATTGAGAAAAAATATATGAAAAGGTAAATAAATTTAAAACTTATAAATAATGGCCGAAATTAGCTAATATAATAAAAGTGTTTGGTAAAATAACTTAACTGAAAAAATCAACAAATTTTTCTAAAAAACTAAAACGATAACCACATGAGATAAGTTCCGTCATTTAAAAAGTTCATCATATTAAATATGATTGCTTAATTATTACGTACGCGACACTCGCCTAACCGAGCTAATATTGATATAGAAATTTACGAACATAGTATCCCTAATTATAACAATTAACACATACCGTTTCATGTGCACAAAAAACTTAATTGAGATAAAACCTGAATTTATTAGCCAAACCTAAAACTTTATTGCCCAGATTTATTACTCTCTCTAGCACATTTTTGCAACGGTAAAATCCACACTAATCCCACTATAAATGTCCATTTACAACCCAACTTTTTTTTGCATGCACAAGTTTTTTCAGTTTCAATCTCCATATTATAAAAACATCTTAGTTGATTTTTTTTTTTTAATCTTAATTCCATATTAGCAGAAATTTTGATTTGGGTGAAAATTAAAAATATCAAGTCTTAGAATTTTGTTGTTAGTCATTTATTTTTTGCCATGGCTGATAGTAAGGTTTACGAATTTCTTGTGTTTTTCATGTTATTTTTGGCTTGTGCTTGCATTTCGAACGGCCTTCAATTCAACGTTGGGGGCAAAAATGGATGGGGACTAAACCCTTCTCAAGACTATAATCGTTGGGCTGAACGTTTGAGATTTCAAGTTAACGACACACTATGTAAGTTCTTTGTGTGTGTATTTTTCTTCTTTTTCTTTTCACAATTTTTTTGGGTGAGACACTCGTTTTAGATGAATTCACAATTCATATAATTTGAGTAAGAATGTATACTTTAACTATTAACATCATACTTATGTCTATGTTGTTTTATAAATTATGACATTTTTCTAATAAAAATATGCATATATATAAAAAAAGATATCTTGATCTAATGGTTAGGTCCGCCTTAACACAAGACCAACCTTTTTCTTTTATTGTTTATGGTTAATCAACAAAAATATGTCTATGGTTAATTAATTGTGCACCTACTTTGCAGTTACATATGTTTTTATCACAAATTCACTCATAAATGCAGTATTTTTATTTATATTGTTTCTTAAAATATTATATTTCGTAATGAACGTAAGAAAATTGTTTAATGGAATAATTTTTGGGTGTAGTTTTCAAATACAAGAAAGGTTCAGATTCAGTGCTGGTGGTGAACAAAGACGATTACGACCACTGCAAAACAACAAATCCTATCAAAAAATTCGACGGAGGGAGATCGATCTTCAGATTCAGTCGATCTGGGCCGTTCTTTTTCATCAGCGGCAACGAAGCCAACTGTAGCCGCGGCCAGAGGCTGATTGTCGTCGTTTTAGCCGTCAGGAGCGGCGGGCCCGGCCCATCGCCCGTCGAGCCGCCGGCCCCGCGTCCGGGATTCCCACCGGCCGAACCTCCGTCTCCGGCGCCGGCGCCGGCGGACTTCCCGCCGGAGAATTACACACCGGTCGTGCATCCCCCGCGCCGCTCGTTTGCGGCGGCGGAGGAGTTGGGGCTCTCGGCGGCGTTGGTGGGGGCAGTTTCGATAGTTTTAAATGTTTGGTTGGCCGTGTAATTTTGGGGTGGTATTATTTTAGATTTATTTTGGTGTAGGAATATTTGTGCAATAATTAGTTGTCATTTCATTTATTAATATGTTTATGGATTTTAGTAACTGCATAATAAATGACATTAGTTTTGTTTCTTTATTCTTTAGTTAAATTTATAAAGTTGACTACATATTAGTTAAAAGAATTATATGATTTGAGTACGTAAAAACAAACTCTAAGAAACATCATGAGAAGTGAGAGAACTATGTGAATATAACTAACCAAACTAATACAGCGNAAAACATAAATCAAATGACCTATCCAAAGCAAAGAAAGAAATAAAACCCCCAATTAGGACTGCAAACGAGCCGAGTCGAGTCGAACATTGACCTTATTGAGCACGATTGATTTTTTTTTTTCCAGCTGCTCGAGCTCGATTTTTTGGGCTTGAGCTCGACTTGATAAAAAATTACTAGCTCGAGGTCGACTCGAAATCAAAATGCTCGAGCTCGGCTCGAGAATTTTTAAGTGGAAAGGTAAAATTACCATTAAAGACCTATGCTATGTATACAAAAGAGTATTTTAGTAATTTATATGTATCTCGAGCCGCTCGACTAGCCGCTCGACAAGGCAAAATATGAGCTCGAGCTCGACTCGAGTTCGGTCAAACTCAAGCTCGAGTCGAACTTTGACTCGAGCGCTCGCGAACGGCTCGAGAGCCGCTCGGTTCATTTGCAGCCCTAAATACAATACTCAATTTTTTGAATATTATAAAATCCAAATTAAATAACTCCAAATTTTTAAAATCTCCAAAAATATTTAAATTTCTTGAAGTAATTCATCACCTCATAATAATTTTCTTTTATAAGATACCACCAATTTGAGAAATTTTCTTTTAGTCGAATCAACCCGTTCTGTTGTTTGAACAAAAATGCTCATTCATATTTATAAAAAGAGTTTATCACCAACGAACCTAATATAAGACCAACCGTTTTTCATCATAATTCATATGCACCCCTATATTTTGGTCTTTCTATTCTCCCTACAAAATCCAATATTTGCTCTACACCATACATTCTGAATTTTTATTTCCCCTAAAATTTGTTTCTTTTTATCATCCTGCAAGGTGGCAGGCTGTGAGAGACACAAGGACAATCATCCAAAAACAAACAACAAAGAAACCACAAAACTATAGAAATAAAGAAAAAAAAAACATAGAAAAACAGAGCCCACACGGAAAAAAGAACAAAAACAAGAAAAATTGAAAAACAGAGCCATCTTAGTTAATCCGAAGCTGTTTGGGTCCTAAAAACACACCGGAGATTAACGACCGATGGCCTCCCGTCTCGCGCTGGCCGTTCTACTCGTGGTGGTGGCCGCCATGGCTGCGGCGGCGTACGCCGGCGACCTTTCCCTTGCCGAGGCTTTCGTGGCGGAGCCCGACGGCCACGGCCTTGTGGCCGATGCCCTCAACTTCGATGAGGAGATGATGATGGAGTCGGAGACCGCGCGCCGGCAGCTCCGACGCGGCGGGTACATCAGTTACGGCGCCATGGGGCGGAACAACGTGCCCTGCAACCGGCGCGGCCGGTCGTACTACAACTGCAACGGCCACCAGAGGGCTAACCCCTACCGGCGCGGCTGCACCAGGGCCACCAGGTGCGCCAGGAACAACCACTAAGTGCCGGAAGACGGCGGCGGCGGCCAGCGCCACCTTGGGGATGTAAGCATAAGGTGTTTGAGAAAATGACTCAATGAGACAGATTACGGGGATTTAATTCGATTGATTTTATTTTTTTACGTTCCGACGTTTATTTTTTTTTTCTTATAAAGTGTTCGGTATATGTGGCTGTAGAGTTGACCAAAATTTAGTTTGACTGGTCGAAAAAAATATTTTTTCTTCACTATACATGCAATTGGTCAATTCAATATACTATATAATGTAATATTTCATAATTGATTGTTATTTGTTTTGTAAGTCTTTCTTGAATTTCAAATTATGCTTTTATCTAACTAAAAAATATATAAATTAATTGATATCTAGTATAAATTATTAGTGTTTTGTAGTTTTTACTTCAGACCGTCATTTTTGCAAATATAATGTTGTTCAATTTGTCAAAACTTGAGTTCTGACTTTTTTATTTATTTAAAGGATTGAGTTTAAATAATTAATCAAACTTGTTTATTAAACAAGTTAAGTCAAATTTGTTTCAAAAATATTATATTTATTCTTCATAGACATTTTAAAATTTTACTTATCTAAAGCTCCAAGATAAATATTTAACAAAATATATATCACTATATAAATAATTTAAATTTATGTGCCAAACAAGCAATATTGTGGTACAGGCTTAGCAAATGGAGAGTTGCGGTTCCAAATTGGTTCCTTATATAGTTATATCACAGCTTATTACAAATAAGTTTGAACTTTGAAATATGATTATCAAGATGAATATAAAGTAAATTAGTCCATTTTTAGGACTATTGATATAACTTAAATAAAGCACAAAATTATCAAATATGGAATATATCCTCTCAATCTCTCTTCAATATAATATTCTATTCCATCAACAAGCATGACCCAGCACTGTTTCATATTCTATAAATAAAGATACAAAAATTATTCATTTTAATTTATTAAAACCAAGAAGTTATCTTAAATTTAAAGGAAATATACCATTCGTTTCATTTCAATTTTTTTTCTTTACAAATCGAAACAATTTAAAAATATTAATTACTATATGTTTTTAATAAAATATAATTATTTATCCACTCACGTATTTTTAACTTTTAATAATGTAAATTAATATTTGTATTATTTCATATAAATTAAATTTACTAATTATACTTTTTATCTCATTTATATTCACAATTTTAAATAATTTATTTTATTAAAGTAGAAATAAATTTTAGTTTTTCATTTAAATAATAATAATAATTTCTTTTCAAAAAAATCTGATACATCTACAAGACTACAACTCCAAAATCAATTATTTTAAGGAATAGAAACCATAGAAAAATCAGAAAAGCATAACTGAGCACCCGCACGCATATATACACACACCTATACATACAATGGCTGCAGCTTCGGCAGTACCACTCGCCGCCGTAAACGGAGCTGTGAAAATGAACACGACGTCGCAGGCGTACTTGGAGGGCGGCAAAGTTAGGGAGACTAGGGCCCTGATTTCCGAGCTGTGCCGCCAATTTTACCATCTGGGCTGGGTTTCCGGCACCGGCGGCAGCATCACCATTAAAGTCCATGACGATTCGATTCCCAAGCCCCAGCAGCTTATTGTCATGTCCCCCTCAGGTAAATCTGTAGTTCTTGTTTATACACAGCTGTGTGGTGTTTTCTGGGTTGAGATTCTATTGTTTGTTGTTATATTCCCATCTTTTTTTTTTTATTTTTTTTATTTTTATTTTGGTAAATATCTTTGTGGGTTTTTCTCAAACCGGTAGAGAGTGATAATGGTGTTATATTTGGGACCAAGAATAAATTATTTTGTAAACTCTATAAGATGACAAATAATTTGAGTCCTAATAAATTGTTGTAGGTGTGCAGAAGGAAAGGATGATGGAGGAGGATATGTATGTGCTAGCTCCGGATGGATCTGTGATATCTGAGCCATCGGCAAAGCCGTGGCCAAATAAGCCTCCCAAGTGTTCTGATTGTGGCCCGTTATTTATGAAGGTATGAAGTTCATTGAATAGTTTGAGTTGATTTAGTGAAATTGTAATTTAGGTACTCTGATCAGGCTATGTTGGTGTTGAGTAATGTTTTTGTGCAACCTTATGTTTCATGGAATGTCTTCGTTTTTGGTGATTTTTGGTTATCCGTGGTGTAGGATATGGTCCGATGATTGTACATCCCGTGAGTTCGAATCCAATTTATGTTTGCTTGCTTGTGTTTTTTTTGTTTTCTAGTCATATGATGGATTATATCGTACGATGGTCTTAATTCAATGAAGATACTAATGATTTTTGTCCCTCAATTGTTTAAATTTTTGTGATGGAAGTTGTTATTATCCCTTGTCTTAGGCATATGAAATGCGTAATGCTGGTGCTGTCATCCACAGTCATGGGATGGAGTCTTGCCTCGTGACAATGATTAATCCTTTGTCCAAAGAATTCCGGGTATAAATGTCACTTTCATTTATTTTGTAAAGACGATAGAGGAAATGGAAATTTTCTAGACTTGTACAACTTATTGTATTTCGTTTTTCAGATTACCCATATGGAAATGATTAAAGGAATTCAAGGGCATGGCTATTATGATGAACTTGTGGTCCCAATCATTGAGAACACTGCTCATGAAAGAGAGCTCACACAATCTCTTGCGGAAGCTGTGCGTTTTTCTCCTTTTCTTCTTTTTATTTGTCTTCGTTTTCCATGAACAAGTTTGCTATATTAGCAACTTGAGAAATTATAAGGGTTTTAGTTACATGATGAATGAAACTAGAGATATCACATCTAGTTAAAACCATAGTACGTCAAAAGTGTAGCATAGTACACAATGATATAAAATTGCAAGCTGTTTTATATCTGTATTTGAGATTATGAACCAGGTTCAAGTGCATAGTATGATGGCCATAGTGGGATTTGGTGAAGATCGAGAATTTCAAGTGATTATTGAAAACAACATGTCTGTAAAGATACTGCAATAGGTTTTAACAAAAAGAAGTGATTGTTGGTAATATTTGCAATGATATTCTCTCGGTCTAGACAAATGGCGTTGTTGTGCGAGTTATTTCAAAAGAACTCCCGTTTTGTAAATATTAATCCCTTTCCCTTATTTTGCAGATTCAAGCATATCCGAAAACCACAGCTGTCCTTGTCCGAAATCATGGGGTATATATATGGGGTGACTCGTGGATCAATGCTAAAACACAAGTGAGTACCAGTGATGGAGATAACTTTAAGTTCAATGGGTTGTATGACCCATCTTACCTATTCATAATTGCTCCTATTAATTTTGAGTTACTTATTAGTTGTCTTCATCCCATTGTTAAACATGAGATGCATTAATAAAAAAGATTGGTGAGGTAGATCTCGCTACAAAATGCAGTTACTTGATGAAAAATTGGTCATAAATGTTGCCAACCGTTTCTCGGATTGTTTTCCTCTTATTATAAGTTAATTTTTGGCATTATCAAGTAAATCTCTGGATTTGTTTTCAGTAAGTAGGGAACTCCAAATCTCACGAAAATACTTATGACAGCTGATATCTGCGTAGAGCTGCTTTAAGTCAGTTTTATGAGTTTATATAGTTTGATTTTGACTCTAGAAAGGACAATATTGTTTGGGATTTACATTGAATCTATAAGCCTAGTTTATTAAGTGATAGCTTTGCCCGAAGTAAAATTTTCATAACCACGCAGTCAAATATCTCTGGATCCACTCTTTTGGAGAATATATGAAAAATGGTTATGTGCCCAAAAGTTTTGGCATAAAGTGATGTGTATGTTAACTAGTTTCTTTCTTTCTTTTTTTTGATGTGATATATGAGAAAACAGGACTGTGGCAGAAATGCATTATTCTGATGTGCATGTCAACCATTATGTTTGTGTAGCATGACCTGGTTAATATTGTCTAGAACACTCATGAACTCTGTACACACACACACACACACACACACATATATATATATCATAAATTGTTCGCTAGTCATCTTGTATTAAAATCTGTTTCTGATATATTTAAGTAAATTTAATATTGAAGAATATTTAGAGACTTTAATATTCTGATTTTCATGTGTGAGATCAGTGAGCACTAATATTCCCATTAATATTTGACACAATTTGATCGGCAAACTATAAACCAAGGCTGAATGCTACCACTACCTCTTTGATGCTGCCATTAAACTTCATCAATTAGGATTTGACTGGTCAACACCTTCCCACGGCCCCATCCGGACTCAAAACAGTGTTTTAAGCAACAGTCGAAACCCAAAAGTTTCCACAAAGGCAGGGGCTCTAGACAATGGCATTGAACCAAAGAGAGTAATTTTTTAATTAATTCCTCACTATTCTACAAACTTTTGACATCTTTGTTATTCATTTCTAAAGTACAAAAAGAACCAAACAATTTGCAGAGTTGCATTGTACTGGACATTGAGGGAACAACCACTCCTATATCGTTTGTTACAGATGTTCTTTTTCCTTATGCTCGTGATAGTGTTGGGAAGCATTTGGAGCTGACATATGATTCGGCTGAAACTCAAGAGGATATTAAGTTATTACGAGCTCAAGTAAGTTGGCCATTAAACACCCTCGTAGATCCTTATAATGATTCACTGTGTGTTTTATTTATTTTACACTCTTGCTATGAACGTTGAATCTGTTGTTTTTATTTGACCACTGGCGTAACATGCACCATAAATAAAATTAACTGAGCAAATTGTGGAAAATCGACATAGTTAGAGTTTTTTTTTTTATTTTTTTTTATTTTTTTATTTATAATTTTTTAAGTATATAAATAATAACCTCACATTGAACATGGTGGCGATGATTGGTTATACTAATGATCGATTAGCTGAAAATATAAGAAAAATTATTCCCTTGCTCGTGATATTTTTGCACGCAAGGTACAAGAAGATCTAGCAAACAATCTTCTTGGTGCAGTTCCCATTCCCGAAGATGGAGATAAAGTGGACATAATTGCTGCGGTGGTAGCCAATGTTGAGGCTATGATAAAAGCTGACAGGAAAATCACTTCTTTGAAACAATTACAGGCAAGAAAGATGATTTATCTGTGTTCATTCATTTTTTTTTTCAACAAACACTTTGCAGAAAGAATCTTGTTATTAACCTTGGAAAATGTCGTGACGTTTAACTATATGCCTCTCAGGGTCATATATGGAGAACTGGATTTCAGAGCAAAGAGATTGAGGCAGTTGTATTTGATGATGTGCCCGAAGCCCTCGAAAAATGGCATGACCTCGGAATTAAGGTTATTCTCGGCTTCTTCTTTTTCTCTTTTTTTTTTTTTTTTTATNTTTTTTTTTAATAAAGTCCTGCATTTTCTTCCTATAGGTGTACATATATTCCAGTGGCAGCAGATTAGCCCAAAGGCTCTTGTTTGGCAACACTAATTATGGGGACCTCAGAAAATACTTGTGTGGATATTTTGATACTACAGTTGGGTAAGGCTCTTTTCAATCATTGTAGTGATTTGTGTTCCGGCTCTGGAGTGTTTTTCAACTATAATGTGACTCTACTCTAATATTATTATCTTTCTGATTTGCACAGCAACAAAAGAGAAGTTAAAAGCTACACTGAGATCTCAGAGTCTCTTGGGGTAGATCATCCTTCAGAAATTCTATTTGTTACAGATGTTTATCAAGAAGCTACAGCTGCTAAGGCGGCAGGTAAATAACTGTTTTCGGTTTTTCAGTTTCTCAGTTTCTTTTCATTTTTCGCTCTCTTTCTTTTGGTGAAAAAATCGATTTTGAACACTGAATTGGATCAATATTTCTGCTAAATCTTCACATCTGCTACTATAGTTCAGCATTTTCTGTAATGAACCCTTTTCCAAATCTGACTATCGATAGTGTTTCGTAATAACAGGTTTGGATGTGATAATATCGATCAGGCCCGGCAATGGGCTGCTTCCCGAGAAGCACGGTTTTCAGACGATAAATTCATTTTCGGAAATCTAATAAGGAATTCGCTCCCCTGTAAGCAGCAAGCAAACATAACCTTTAATGGAATAAAAATAATTAACTTGCTTTATTTATGGCAGAATTGTGAATTTGATCTTGTTTTTACTACTGTGAACTTTATGTAATTTTGATGCTGTGTTTTGCTTTTGCCTCAAGAGAATATGTTGTTTTTACTTTTTAGCCTCAATTAGCTTCCAAGTTTTATTGCCAGGTAAAAAATGAGAAATCCTTTGGCGCGCTATCTTTATTTTAAAGGTGGCAGTAAAAACTAAAAAATGAAAAATGTCTTATTAAGGGAAGTTTAATAAAAAAAATAAAAAAATCTGCTTGCTTAATTATTGTGGTGGCCATTTCATTTACGAATTTGAATAATCATTATGAATTTATGATTGCATAACAAAGAAAACAAAATTTCCAGTGGATAGAAAACGTGATATTTCTTTTTTTCTCTATTTATAGTCAACCGGGTAATAATTTCTTGGTTTACTTGAATGTTTTTCGATCATGATTTTTAACTTCCCACTTTTTCATTATTCCTATAGGTATAGTGTTCTCATTATTAACTTTTCACCTTCTCCATTTGACTCGTCTTCTCTTTGATTGAAACAGAAAAAACTAGACATTTTTACTTTTTTCAGAGTTTTTTTTCTTCTGGTTAATTTAAAGAGCTACGTTCAAAATCAATATTCTATATTAAATCTTTTAATCTTCATCAATTATTGTTTGAAAATATGACTGTTAATAGATGTAAAATCGCAAAAGTATAAAACCAGATATTTTGGGACCTTTCAATATCATTTCATCAACGCTCAAAAAAGGAACAACGTACATCGACAGTACTTATGCATGCAAGACGACAAACAAGGAAGATGACTAAAACGGCGTCGTTCTATGCTTAAGGGAAACGACGCCGTTTGAACTTAACAACTAAAACAAAACGACACCGTTTTATGCAAACTAAAAGAAAGAAAAGAAAAGGAAAAAAAATAAAAGAAAGCAGAACATGTGCATGGTTCATCCTTCATCTTCATGTCTTCTCCATCCCAAGCTATAATTCCAACACCCGCCCCTCAAGGTGGGCCATGTGGTGTGCACGCAACATGCCCAGCTTGGACACGAGAACAGCAAAACGAGCCCCAGCTATGATTTTGGTGAATAAGTCAGCAAGTTGATGCAAAGAAGCAACATACAGAGGAGAAATAAAGCCTTGCTTATATTTGTCGCGAACAATGTGGCAGTCAATTTCAAGATGCTTGGTCCTTTCGTGGAAGACGGGATTGGCCGTGATGTGCATAGCAGCATGATTATCACACCATAAGGGAATAGGAAAGACCAAGGAAACATGAAGTTCTTGAGCAAGAAAGTGTAACCACATAAGCTCAGAAACTGTGGATCCCATCGCCCTATATTCGGCTTCCGCTGATGACTTAGACACAGTATGCTGTTTCTTGCTTTTCCAAGAAATGAGAGAATCCCCGAGGAAAATACAAAAACCAGTAATCGACCTCCTAGTATCCTTACAGGTGGCCCAGTCAGCATCACAGTAGGCCACAAGTGTGAAGGATGAAGTGTTATTGGGGTAAAACAATCCCAGAGAAGGAGAACCCTTTAGATACCTGAGTATATGAAGTGCTGCCTGCCAATGAGAGTCATGTGGACTATTAACAAACTGGCTGAGTTGCTGAACGGCATAGGTGACATCAGGTCTAGTGAGTCCAAGATACAACAGCCTCCCAATTAATCTTCTATAAGTGTCAGGTTGATCCAATGGATGTCCACCATGTGCTGTTAAATGAATTCCAAGAGGCAATGGAGTAGGGGCAGAAGCACATGTCAGCATGTTTAAATCACCAAGAATGTCTAAAATATACTTCCTTTGACATAGTAAAACCCCTCTGTCAAAATAAGCAAACTCAATACCCAAGAAAAACTTGGCAGCTCCCAAATCTTTAATAGTGAATTGCTGGTCCAGAAAGACCTTTAAATGCTTGATGAGGAAAGGTGATGAACTGGTGACCAAAACATCATCTACATAAACCAGTAGGGCCAGAAAATCATCTCCTCTGGTTAAAGTAAAGAGGCAGTGGTCATAGGAAGACTGAAGAAGTCCAAAATGTGACAATTTCCTGCACAACTCAAGATTCCACTCTCTCGAAGCTTGTTTAAGCCCATAAAGACTCTTAATCAGCTTGCAAACTTGACCAGCCTTGGCTTTATTATACCCTTGAGGTGGCTGCATAAAAACTTCTTCAGATAGTGTGCCATGAAGAAAGGCATTGTTCACATCTAGTTGATGTAAATCCCAGCCTCTATGAATTGCCATTGCAATGAGAAACCTCACTGTGACCAGCCTTGCCACTGGGGAAAAGATATCAAAATAGTTCACTCCTTCTATCTGATTATATCCCTTAGCAACCAGCCGTGCCTTAAACCTTTCAACTGAGCCATCAGCCTTTCTTTTGATTTTGTATACCCATTTGCAACCAATTGCCTTTTTACCTTGTGGTAATTCTGTAAGTTCCCATGTATGGTTGTCCTCAAGTGCATCTAATTCCTTTTGCATGGCTTCCACCCAAGAAGGGTGCAAAGCAGCCTGCTTATAGTGTGATGGTTCCTTTTCAGTGTAGATATTAGCAATGAATTCCTTGTGTCCCAGTGGATCAAGGTTACTGCAATGTGCTGAGTGCTCATCCAAGATGTAATCATCATGCCATTGAGGTGCATTCCTTACCCTGCGACTTCTTCTCATTCCATCAGTATATGTTTCTTCTTCTGAAATGTGAATGATATCCACAGTTGGTGGTTCAGAATCCTCAGGTTCATCTGCAAGCTGAGGTAACACAATGTTTTCCTGATGTGGTGTGTCATAAGGAAAGATTTCTTCAAAGAACACTACATCCCTTGCTATGAAGCATTCACCACTATCTATGTCATACAGTTGATAGCCTTTATTCCCTGTGGCATTTCCCAAATAAACACATTTACTTCCCCTTGGTGCATATTTAGATCTTAGTGGCTGTATTTTTGCTGCATAGGTCAGACACCCAAAAGGTTTAAGCCTTGTATAGTCTGGCACCTTCTTATACACCTTTTCAAAGGGAGTTTCCCAATTCAGAACAGCACTAGGCAGCCTATTTATAATGTATGCAGCTGCTAAAATTGAGTATGGCCAAAACTTCAGTGGTAATTGACCTTGGAAAATCAAAGCCCTTCCAATTTCAAGTAGTTGTCTGTGTTTCCTTTCTACCACACCATTCTGTTGTGGTGTGTATGGGCAGCTTGTCTCATGAACTATTCCCTTTTGCTTAAAAAAATTCTGCAGCTCTTTACTTAAAAACTCCTGCCCATTATCTGACCTCACTTTCTTGACAACTGTTTCAAACTGTGTCTCTATCATCAAAATGAAATCACTCAAGAATTTTGCAGCCTGTGACTTGTGAGTCATCAAAAAAATCCATACCCCTCTACTAAAATCATTAACCACTGTCAAGAAAAAGGGTGTTGATGTAAGTGATTCCTCTTTACAAGGACCCCAGATATCCACATGAAATATCTCAAAGCATCTTCCTGCATGTATGTAACTGCTTTGAAAGGGCAATCTATGTTGTTTTGCTTTAAAACAAATCTCACATGATTGGACTTCCTTACTTTCTGAATCTGTGAATTTTCCTTTAAGAAATGGTAGGTGCTGCATTGTAGTGTAACTGGCATGACCAAGACATTTGTGCCACATAGCCAAAGAGAAATTGCAATTAATAGCAGACCTCTTGTGCTCAACCACTTCATTGCTTTGTAGCACATACAGGTTTCCCTTTGATATCCCTTTACCAACTAATTTTCCATTTTCAGTGAGCTGTAGAGTGCAAGTGGTAGATGAAAAAGAACAGTTCACCTTTTCATCAACACAAAGCTGGCTGACTGAAAGAAGATTGTATTTGAAGCCTGGCACATATAGGACATTTCTTAAGGTGAGAGTGTTGGTCACTGTAACTGTTCCCCCTGTATCCACTTTCTTGTAGGAACCATCTGGTAGACACACTGAGATAGGCTCCTTGAGCACAAAAATTTTCTTCATTATGCTGATATTACCACACATATGCCTGCTAGCTCCAGTGTCTATGATCCATGCACCACTTTTCACATTTTCAGCAATGGTTAGAGCAAAGTGAACTCCATCTTCTTCCTCTTTGTGAGTAAAGCTTGCCATCTGAGCATAATCCACTTGTCTCTCCACAGTCTCCTTTCCCTTTATATACTGAGTGATCTCTTGTAGTTGTTTCACAACTAGTGACAGCTCACTATCTGCTGAGCTCCTTTTTTCAGATCCTTGTCTTCCCCATTTCTCTTCACCATCATAAGTTTCTGCATTATTGGCATAGGATCTGGGTTGCTGCACCTTCAATTCTTTGTACCACTCTGGTACACCATGAATTTTAAAGCATGTGGCAATAGTATGACCATGCATTCCGCATTTATCACACAATAACTTTGCTCTTTCTTCTTTGCTTAACCTGATACCACTTCTACCTCTACCACTCTGCCAATTACCACCTCTTCCACCATATCCTCTTCCCTGTCCTGCTTGTCCCCGACCATAACTTTCACTTTTGACATTCATAGCCATATTCTCCATTGTATCAAGGCTGTTTGTGACAGATCTCTGCCTTTCTGCTGAGAGTAGCATTGAATATGCCTTGTTAACACTTGGCAGAGGATCAAACAGCAAAATTTGATTCTTCACATGATCATAGCTATCATTTAATCCCATGAGAAATTGAATTAGTTTGGTTTCAGCTTCATGTTGAGCTGTTTTTAGACCTTTAGGACAATTACAGGTCTGAGTAGGAGCAACACAAGCAAACTCATCCCACAATTTCTTCAGTTTGTTAAAATAATCCATAATCAAACTATGACCTTGAGTTAGAGTGTTTATCTCTCTCTGCAACTTATACCGCATAGGTCCGTTGTTTTCTCCATACCGTTGACAGATTTCTTCCCAAAGTTCCTTAGATGTTTCAGCATACACAAAGGTTTCAGCAATATCTTTCGATAATGAATTCAAAATCCATGACAAAATCATCCAATCGACCTTTTTCCAATCATCATACTCATCATCATCAACATCAGGTTGTATTATATCACCATTAACGAAACCTAGTTTTCTCTTAGCACCCAAGGCTATGGTCATCGATCTTTTCCAGGAAAGGAAA